GTTGGTTCTCGGACGGTGTCTTCCTCTCCGAACTATATCATTAGCGAAGGCAAAACGCTGGACCATTCAAGCTAGGGGTCGCTAGGTGTTCAGCACACGATTTTGGCGACACATGATTTGCATCCCCGATAGTCAACTTTCATGGTTCCAAAGCATGCCTCCCGCAAAAGAAGCCACACTTGCTTGCTGGCGACTACTTATCAGTGTGCCACCAGGCACAGTGTTCCGGCAAGTCAGCCCTCTTCCAGAGGGTCAACAGCCCGGAAGAGAGAGAGTCACACAGAACCTGAGAAGACTGGACTCACTGGCTTAGCATTAATAAACATCCGTTCAATCGCCTTCATGGTGACACATCGCCGGGCTTTGAAGGTCCTCCAAATGAACGGTGTTTTTTGGTGCTAAAAAACGCCCATGATTGGCACGATGTATTCCACTCCAAACCGAGCATCCACTCTGGTACATGATTTCGGCTCGGGCCCGGAAAATATCTCGATCCAAATGCTTCTGCCCCTCCTCAGAGCGTGACTTCTTTCACGAGTTTTGGATAGTTTTGGATGGTTTTTGGGATGCTTTGGGAATACGAATCACGCTTTACTGGTCCAAACTGGGACAACTCATGGGTTGGAGATAGTTCTCTCTAATGATTCTAGACTCTTAATCAAAAAAGGACCCACCCATTTGCATTCAACCACCATCTTCAGAGGCGCCTGGACTATTTCTCACTTAGCCGGACCTACGACTTAGCCGACCGGCGACGGGAGACGGGTCGGGAACAGCAGGACCGGTCGGTCTCCTTCAAATGCTCCAGCAGGTCCATCGAGATGGCCCGTCCGCTCAGCTCCTCGGACGGGCCAGGCGGCAGCGTGACGGTGCGGTGCGTACAGCAGCCCGCAGCAGCATCGGACGGTTGCGGTCCCGTGAAACTGAAAACGTGCCGTGCCCGGCCAAATGCGTCACGCGAGATTTTCTTCTGGAGGCCTAGAAGGTGTCCATTCTCTGCTCTTGGAGGCTGGAAGGGCCAACATCCTAGACTACTAGAGGCTTATCTGTATATAAAGCACCCAGCATCACCTAGGTGTATAATGGTGTATACGGAACTCCTGGTGAAGGACATTAGCTTCACGGACCACTCCTCTGCATGTCTTTACTCGTTCTTCTTGTTATTGTTGTCTCCTCGACAGGTGTCCAGACTCTGTCGTTGAGGTTTCCTGACTCTGTCATTCAGGTGTCCTGACCCTGTCGTAGGTGTCCTGTCTTCTCCCTTAGCTTCGCACAAACCGAAGCCCCTCTCTTGTCACAGGCGAGGTGCCGCCTTCACCACATCGTCCACCACACCTGGCTATGGGGTAGGCAGGGTGCTGGTGAATGAAGCATCCTTGTTCCTTGTTCCATGCAGTGTATTTTAAGCGCATCATGTCATGTATTTTGATTGGTGCTTCACATCTGAAACTGGAAAACTCCTAGGACCACGGTTAGGTCGGTTAGTGCTTGTTGCTACTTTGTATCAGCAGGCCCCGGCTGTCTTGAGCATGTGTCAGAAGCAAACCCATGGTAGGGTGAGGGTGACCTGCACATGTTGGAAGTTTGCTAGGCTCTCAACCGAGCTCTGATGTTCTTGCAAGGTGCCCCACCATGTCTCACCGCTGACTCGCCATCAACTTCTGAGCAAACAAAGCCAGTGACAAACCAGAAAAAAAAAAGAATTCCCTGACTCCCAATGCCGATCCAGTATGCTTGACAGGTCATCCATTTCACCATGATCATGCCCCTTTCCCAGCTTTTGCCACACTCTTTTGCTCCCCCAACATCCCCCCCCACGCCCATCGGCCACATGCCAGCCACCCAGTGCCACCCATCGGGCAGCCACCCAGTGCCCAGCCCGGCCTGCTAGGCCTTTCATGCTCTTTTTCCACGACTCCTCGGTGGCCTCTCTGAACTTCATCTCAGTTTTCGAGCCCGGTCACTCCGCTCCGTGCGTCGTGCGTCGTGCGTCAGCCCCCCCCGGGAGTCCGACAGTGTGTCGATCCGGTCAGGTCGATGCGGAAGAGGAGCGAAGTGGCGGAAGAGGGAGCGAAGCTCCCCATGGAGCTGGAGATGCTCCTCTATGCCCATGGAGAAGTTCATGGTCTTTCGGCATGCCATCGACTTATAACCATGATTGTTGGAGGGAGGGTAGGGGTAGCCGAGTGATTGAGACACCTTCCAAAACGCTGCTTTTGTGCACGGAATCATCCAAAGTCCAGGTTCTCAACGCTTCACTGTGGGCCACTAGGCACTTGCCCAACAGCCCAGCACCGAAAGAACATGACTGCGGTCCCAACCCACAAATGGTCAATGGGATCAATCAGCCCAAGTAGATTATATAAAAACTCTCACCCAAACATGATCGTAGGCTCACTTCCGTGGCACGGTAATCCCCAGAAGGAGCTCCACAACGATCTCCCCCTGCTTCGTCCTCTCCGCAAACCAAGGCACGTGCGAAGTGGACATGAGCCCCTGCGTGACTGAGGAGGTGGTCAACTGAACTCGCCTGGGGAAAGTGGCACAAGACCTCACAGGACCCTGGGTGGACGTCAGGGGTTGGGGCTTCGGAGGTGGCACCTGGGTCATGGAGGCTTGGAAAGCCCCTGCACTGGTGGATATGACAGCAGTCAGTCCGCGCCTCTGATGTGGGTGATACCGTGATACCTGTTGAAACACTTGGATTTTGCCTGGGCTCATGTATGGGTATTGATCCTCACCAGTCCAATCAACCCCTAAGATCAAACCTGTGTTCATGACACCTCAGTAGTTGCACAGGTGGGCCCTGTCACAGTGACTCTGCTCACATCGAACCTTGAAAAGAACACGGCACCCCACAACCACCAGTCCGGCCTGAGGCATAGAAGTTGAGCGTCAAAGAACTTCACCGCCAAGCTCAGTTGAGTCCATGTCTGGGGCATGAGAATGAGCCTCACTCCGGAGCGAAGCGAGCAGCCAAGAACGCTGCATCGAACAACATGTATATGAATGTCGCCTGCTGAACGGGCAGGCTCAGAACAGGAACTGCGCAGTTGTTCCTGATTTCCCTGACTTCGATCAAATGTTTCATGCCTGGAACATGTGTTCCTATGAGCACCGTCGGCTGTGAGTATACAAGTCTTGTGGCTCGAGTTGTCTCTGCCATACCCCTTTTTGTGTCTCAGTGGAACGACGAAACCTCAGGAAAGCTGCAGTCATCGCTCTTGGAGCTTGGTCTCTCATCGCTCTTGGGCTCCGGCTCCCAGGACGCGGGACCCCTTAGCGCAGTGAAAGTCAGTAAGGTGTCGGAGTCGCAGTCTGTGTGTGTCTGTAAGTCCCAGGGCCCTCTTGGGCTCTAAGAGTAAACAACAGAACAGGACCTGTTAGGTCCGATCATCCAAAATTAGGCATGCTAGTTTTTGCATTGATGGAACGACCGTGGCGCAAGCATGTGGGATTCAGACTCTTGTTCTGTTCCTCTCGCGATGGGTATGGTTCAGTTCAAGTTGAGGCAACCGTCATACTCACATTGCTTGCTACCTCATATCTGAGCAAGTCCTAGTTGCCACGTCCTCATGCTACATACTGCACAAACCATGGAAATACTACGCACAACAAAGGTGAAGCAGGGGTCGATAATAGGATTTCACGTGACACATGTCACTTGCGTGCCTCGCGCGCACCCAAGCAGGCTCGTCAGCCGCGAGCCTGTCCTCCCCAACACACACCGCCCGTGTGAAATCCCCAGCGGCAAAAGGCTCTTCATCTTCAGCTGATTGTCGCGGAAGGTCTCCAGCCTCCCAGGCGAAAGCTGCGAACGGTCCGTGGCGTCAATGGGCCACAGGGTCAATGGCAATGGTCCTTCCATGGCGTCCCTTAGGCCGTCCCTGCTCCCTAAGGGTCGCCCCTAAACCTCCTCACCCTGCTTGCGGGCCCAGCGGCCGATGAGCTGCCGCCGCGTGGTGCGTGCGTGACTTGGAGAAGAAGGCCGTGTAGTGCTCCACCAGGACCTGGTGCCCCACCAGGGTGGGACGGCGTACGGGATTCGACAATTCTATGGGAGGTGTTGGAGATAGGTGAGGTATATGTGAGGCATATATTTTACCAGTTGCTTAGTTGTGAGGTATCTTTTACAATTGGTTGTACATACAGCTAGGTGTCTTTCTTCATTTTATGAAGCATCTGCTATATCCATACAAGTATGGCTGGGACATCATGCGTATCTTCTGCAAACCGATCACGTCCGATCAACGAAGAAACAAGCGTTGCGGCCACGTCCTCCCTCTGACCCGCCTGGCGCTCGGATAAGGCCTCCGCCCGCTAAACCGACAGGTGGAACATGGAGACGGAAGGCCAACCATTCACCTAACATGCCTGGTTGTTGGAAAATCAACTCAGGAACGAAAACAATGTCGTCATGGGTGAAAAAGCATCCCAAGTTGCCAAGTTGACCATAAACATATCATGAAACCACCTATACTGTAGAACAAATGACTTATATATAAATACATTAAATAAATACCAGCTGCTTCCCAGAAGTCACATGGTTCCACCATGGCTGTCCCCACAGTTCAGGTGTCCAGACCTGTCCCCAGGCTACGCTCCGAGGTATGGGACAATTCAACGTGTTGTTCCACTATTCGTATGGTCCAATCGTTGATTTTTTGTTTAATAGACTAATGACTAAGCAGGGAACGAACACCAAGATTCAGATTTACATGAAAAGAACTGCTGGAGTGGAAATCCAATCTCAAGTGTTTAGCTTCAGAATATCTCATCCAGCGTCCCCCTCTGCCAGGGTCTGTCTGGGGCTGGATTGAGTCGCTCAAAAAAAATCGAAACTTCGCACAAGAACACGTCCCGCAACACACAAGAACAACAAACATTAAGATCCTTGAATCCAAACATCTCCAAGAAAACCTCTGGTGCCTATGATGCTAAGGATGAGGTGGGGTTCCTCTGCCACCACTGGTACTTCAACATATTCCAAGCTCAACCCACTAGGTCACTAGGACGTCGATCGCCAGCGGCAGGTCTCTGGTCGCCTGGAAGGCCAAGCGCTGGCGGAGCTCCTTACAGGCAAACCACGGCGGCAGCACCATGGCGAGCACCGCGCACAGCACTCCCACCGTACCTCGGCGCGGAGGAGGCGAAGTACTACCACACAGCACCCGTGGTGATAGCACACCCTGAGGAGGCCGGATGGCCAACAGGATTGCTTGGAATTACTTGGCATGCATCCAGTCCAACCCGGGGGCGGAAGTGGTTTCGAGAAGATCATGGAAGATCTGATCAAGGTGATGGATTTGGGGTGCACCAATCACCGAGAGGCCCGCCAAACATGGTGTGTGCACTGCCTTTTGACCATGGCCTTCGGTTTCGAGCAACTGGGGAAAGCACACCAACACATGCATTATATGATGTGGCACTGTGGGAGAGTACTTCAGTGAACTGAAGAAAGTTCCGTGTCATCAATGTGTCCTCATTGTGAGGTGAAACCGTCTTTCCACCCCTTCTCCTTCTGGCAGACGCAACGGCGCTTGCTGACCATCAGGCCGGTCCATGGACCGCCACTCAGCCAAAGCCGAGTGAGGAACATTCCGTTTTCATTTCCTGTCTTTTCTTCGGAGCATTTCCTCCCGGCGTCGCTGCTCCAAGGAGCAGGGGACACCAATGGTCCAAGGGAACCACCAGGGCTTCCTGAGCGGGAGCGAGCCGTGGATCCGAGCATTCCTGTCTGGGTGGTTCTGGTGTGGTGCACCTAGAGTCAGGGTTGTCCAGCCAGGTCACCCCGAACAGAAGCAGCTGGTTGATCATCCCCTTGATACATGATAGCATGATGGCAGCATGGGCCGGGGAGTGTTTGTGATACAAGTGGTAGATGACGTTTACCTACACTCATGCCAAAAGGGTTGTGAGGCACCGTTTGACCATAGACTACAGAAAGGTGTTGATCTAAATCTATGACTGTGACTGATTTATGCTGATCGTTTGTGGGGGTGTTGATGTGCACCATCAGTCAAACCCATGCATATAAATTATATACATAACTATATACACACATAGTATAGATCCATTTGACAAATGTGTTTTTTGTGGGTGTGTACATATATCAAAATATCTCAAGCCACAGAACCGTGACTGGTGGAAGTCAGTACATGCAAAAGGTCAGTAGACTGTACAGGCTTCAGGTGGAAGTCAAACACTCCACAAGAAGTTGCACTGTTCACTTGGGTGCTGGCATTGGTCAAACTGAAATTCACGTGTTCCGAACCGTGTGGTTGGTGCTCCTGCTGTGTTCCTTACACGGGTCACGAGCATGTCTGTGTAACCAGTCCTAGCTCGGCCAAGGCTCTCGTGCTGATGCACAGACATGTTGATGGTGCCGCAAAGCATCACACCCACAGAGACACGCTTCTGAACCAAGGCCCAGGGTCTGGAGCAAAGGAAGAACACCGTCGACCTCGGCTCGTCTCGGGTTGAGTGGGGAGGTGAAAGAGGTCTGCGGGTTCAAGAGGAAAGTGATCCCAAACACGAATGGGACTGGGACTGTCAGATTTACCGATCAATTGGGGTGGTGGGTTTGAGGGGTCAATGGGGTGGCAGTCCTATGGCAGTCCCATGGAGTGTCTGGGGATTGAAATTCAAGGCTGAAGTAGGGGAAGAATGAGCTGAGCTAGATCAGTTGGGTGGTGGGCTACACAGGTCATACAGGGTAGGTACAGGTACAGGTCACGCAGAGTAGGTTTGGGTGCTGTCTCTGGTCACAGGGAAAAAACATCAGGCAACCTCCCTTTGTAAGTCAATGTCCTCCACAACCAAAGAAAAAATGACCTCTCGCCCGGACACAGGAAAACCGGTAGGTGGTCTGAGGATAGTGGCCTCACAGGAGGATCAACCATGCCCTCACATGCCCTAAGAAGATACTCTCAACTACTGGCTGGGACCCTTGGTGGTTGCATTCCAGACCCAAATCCCAGTAGTTGAGGGAATCTAAGCTGAAAATGGAATTGTTACGATAACGAGTTCCATAAGTAGGCAAAGAACAATCTCGGAGGGTACACGCCGCACGAGTTAACAATGACCTCACTGAATAGGACTGAACACCACTCCGACATGGAATGGAACTGCTGGCATTCGTCTCTTTAATAATGGTGAAGTACTTCGAAGCAACAATCCACCTGGTGGATTTGTACGGTGCCCTAACCGGTCCCTGCCAAAGTGCAGGAAGCCAACCAGCATCAGCGCTTCGCGCAGAGCATTCGGTTGCACTGGACGTAAGACTTCGTTCACAATCATACTGGAGAGGCATCCGATCACCGCGGCCTTACGGTGAGCTGGCTTTAGATCTGTTTGGCCCTATTGAAAGTATACAGGTTCGGTATGGTTCGGTGCACTGGCATTTTTACGATTAGTACAGCGTGCTAGAAACTAAAACGATAAACACTTCAAGCACATAATCCAAACATATATATAGCATCCTTTAATGGTATCTTGGATGGTGGCCCTTTTCCGTGAGGCTTTTATATATACTATATATATATACAACTGATAATCAATTATATGACATACCTCACATACCTCTTGAAACTGCTTCACAGCCCACCTGCCACATCTCCCACGCGTGATGAAGGGTGGCACCTCCAGGCAGATGCGTCGGGTTAGGCGTCGGAAGAAGTGCCTACATGGATTGATTGATTTACCGCTTGACCTGAGAAGAAAAAGAACGCAGGCAGCAAGTTTACAGCAGATTTATTCAAGTTTGAAGAGCTCAAGCAACCATATGGAAGCAAACTTCGAAGCTCCTGCAATGAACCTTGGCTTTCATGTCGCACACCAAGCTACGAAGTTGGGAGTGGGACCTCTGCCGCCGCTTACCCGAAAAAAAGACACTGCTAGCCATATCCGGCCAGCAAAAGCACCATGAGACCGATAACGATTCGATCACATCAAAAGCAATATCAAACCAACTGTAGGGCTCCAACCATATCCTCAAAGATGGTTAGACCCCCTCTGGCACCCACCCTAAGCACCTTCGTTTCACGGAGGTTGTTGGAGCCCTAGGGTAAGAAAACCCGCAAAATGATTGGACGCTTTTTTTTCTGTGCTTGTTCCTTGTTTTTAGAGGTCTTCTGATGATCGCTTGAGTTTGGCCCATGGAGAAACTGTCCAAACTTCCAACGACGTCAACATGTTACAGCACCCTTCTCTACCAAAAGATGCAGAAAGAAATGCTGTCATTACATGTCATTACCCTCAACGAAAAGCCCAATGAACCGCACCCAGTTGCTGTATCTTTTTTGTCTTGGAGGCTGCTGTGCTAACATGTGCCAACATCTTGCTGCATCCTTGGCCAATCGCCCCCCTCAACCCGCACAGCTGCTGGAACGCAAATCCCGCCATGCTGCACCTAGACTGGGGCCGGAGACACAGGCCACGGCCAGCACCGGGGCGAAGACGGTGGCGTTCTCCCACTCAGCCTTGTGCACCTGACGGTCGTAGTGACCGCTCAGGCGGTCATCCGAAAGAATCAAGAATGGAGGATCGAACTTGAGGGTCTTGAGGCTCGAACTTGGGACAACAACATGCTTTTTGGAAGAAGAACAAGCACATTTAAGAGCTTGCAGGCATCTCACTGGAGGTGCTGGGGCACAAACACCTCCTGTCCAGTGACACCCTCTTCAGGATCTTCATGTTCATGTCACGCCCTCCTTTTCGTCAGGGGCCTTAGCTGAATAGCTCGGTCCAATAACAACACCCACCTCCGGCTGCATCGCATAGATCGAAGCCAAAAAGGCTGCAACGGCAGTGCGCAGCGCAAACTCAAACTTCATGCCCCAAATGGTCTTCAACCTGCCCATTGCAGTCAGGATGGACGGCAAGGCCTTTCCTCCCTCCACCCACATGGGAGGATGGGAGGTTGGGAGCTTGTTACTTGTTACAAGTTGGATCCCAACACACATGTTTGAAAAAAAAACATCTTTAATTTTACACTTCTTCCGCTTCGGGGAACGCCAAACGCCTGCTACACCCCTAACTGGGGTCCACCGAACAGTTCCAAAGCCATCCGGAGACGGCTCACAGCTCAACGATGTCACTTGGAGAGATGGGAAACTTTCGATTTCCCTTGTGGCTCCAAAACCCACCAAAAAACAAACACCAATTGGATCCAAAAATGCTCCAAAGGCCTCCCAAGCTCGTAGGCCCCTTGCGTCTCCTCCATCATCTCCGACCGGAAGTCTTCCCACTGAGGCCTCCCGTCAAAGGCCGTTTCCGTCGCCAGCCACGTGGCGCTGTTTGTCACGAACATCGCCGGCCAAGCTGCTGGTGAAGTTGGCTTCCCCAAGTCAGGTTAGGGATGGTTACTTGGATTTGCTGTCCAGCAACCAGGACGCAACTTTCCATCATATTCCAGAGGTTTGGGGATTCCACCACGCGAAAATAACCAATCACCTTAAGGGGATGGGTCAAAACCTCGCAAGAAAGCTGAGCCGCACCGACCCCGCACTCCAGATGCGGGGCACGGGCCCGCCCTTCGACCTCGTAGCGCTGGGACCTGGTCATCCACCCGTGGCGCCGGTGCTGCCTGGATTGAGTGGAGTTGACTTTGGTGATCGCCTTACCCAGCTGCATGCTTTGGGTGAGCTCCTAAGTGCCACTGTTTGGGCGCACCAAAACACCCGGCAAAAAGCCGCGCCACAGACGGGCTCTAGAATCTGCGAGCGAATTCTGCAGCGCGAGTCTGCATGTCTTGGTTGGAAAAGGGCGCTTTTGTAGGCGAGCAGCTGGAAGACTAGAAACATATAGAAACGCAACTTTTCTTTGTTTTACTGCTCATCACGTTTTTGAATGGGGAGTTGCTTCAGCCTCGCCTATATAATCCGTTCCCCGCTAGAACAACAAGCAATCAACACAAACAAACACAACGGGGGGGCCTTCTGTGGCGACAAAGAAGTCGAATCGAAGTCCGTACAAACCTGCCATGACACCGATCCAGCAAACCAGAAATCCAGCCAAAGAATGAATCAACCCCCCATGACCCATAAATCACTAAAGCCCAAACCAAACTCGTTCAGAGTCCGAATTCGATATAGGGGCAATGGGTGTTTCAAGGTCAGGAGGGGACTGAGACGACTGAGTTGAGCCAGTTCAACCCAACAAACATCAACTGTCCAATACTGTCCACCTGCGCAATACCGGCACCACCGGCACGAGACGGAACGAACGGGCGAGGCCACTGGCCAAGGCTCATCCAGCGTGGGCAAGGTGGTGTGGTTCCGATGCCAATGAGTGTCCATCGTTGTTCTCTCGCGCACTGCGACTCAGGCGATCCGTGGAGCTTCACAGCTGCGAGGCGCGAAACGAAACTCGGCCGGCGAACTGCCTGCTGCTCTGACCGTGTTTTTTGTCTGAATATTTGTGCTGGCCGCGAGTTGGGGTGTCCAATCAAAAGCACCCATAGATCATCTTGCTTTTTGCATTGTGGACCTAGGACTCCAGGACAGTCCGTTTTGGCTTACAAAATGAAAAAGCGCGCTACTTATTTGTAGACCACTTTTTTGACTACAAAATGAATGGTCCACGACAAAGTGTCGAGTGCTGATTTCTTAACCAAATGACCGGCTCCATTGGCAACAAGTGGGAAGTAAGACATGTTTTTTGGCCAGCAATGAACACCCAAATTCCCCTACAAAATAGTCCAAAATAAATTGCTTACCAAATGGCTACCTATGGCTCTTTAAAATTGATACTAGGATACCACATTTTGTAAGGTTTGATTTTGAAATAACATACCCTAGGGCTCCAGTCGTACCTCCTTAGAAGGTATGACTGGACCCTCTAAACCCACCCCAAACGCCTTCTAAGAAGGTCCGACTGGAGCCCTAGGGATAATATCATTTCCATGCAAACGAACAACAACTCAAACAGTTCCAATCCAAGACGGCGGATTCCAGCGGATTCCTGAAATACCACAAAAGCGCATGTCGCACTTTCGCATGTCTGCGAGTCTGCCAGCAACTTGGGGACCAAACACCACCCCGAGCTCTGTGACTCCTGGTACCATGTCTTTCAAACGGCTGGGTGTTTCTGGGAGAAAACAACGGTCCCCAACGGACCCGCCGGTCGAACCACTCCACCGCCGGCCCCCGTGGCCCGCACCGGGAGCTGGGGCGCGGATGCCGGCCATGGACTCCCAGGGTTTGTGTTTGCTGTTGATGTTTCTCTTACTTGTTTGTTGTTGACGTTGCTGATGTTGCTGTTGATGTTGCTGCTGCTGGTGTTGCGGTTGTGGAGGTTGTTGTGGTTGTTGCTGCTGCTGCTGCTGACCCTCCAAAATACATTTGAATAATGACATGACGTGACATGACCTTATAAAACATGGTGCTTGTACTCAATGTCCGAAGTATGTTCTGGCTGATGGTTTAGCCTATATAAGTTAAGGTTGAACGGTTGAACATCAAACTATCCGAAACCACCACCTGTGGTATTTTGGGGGGGGTTGGTTTGGTTTAGCCTGGAGCCTCAAGCGGGATGTCATCAACTCCTCCACTCGAAAGGTGTGGCGGGGTGAGCCTGACTCGGCTCGTGACACCTGACTCGCAGGGGTCCATGATCTCACGCTCTTCTTACCGCTGCCGACGGGGCCAAGGGCATCGCTACTAGGACGGATCAAGCTGCTGAAACAAGGAGATCAAGCCGTTCTTGAACTCTCCAAAATCAATCAATCCAGGTGAGCGCCCTAAACGCATTGGAGATCTTAACGGCCCACACCTTCATTGCATATTATCTAGGTCGACCATGAATTGCAGAGTAGATGGCACAAACATGCACCAACCCTGCTCCATGTGTTGATGGGGATCCGTGCCCAGCCCTATATAGGTAAACTAAACAGATAGGCCTTGGGCTCTTGTTTGTAACGGTATGTGCCATCTAGACTACTCGCAGTTATAGTGGGTTATAATAAAAATAACAAAAGGATATGATAATTCTATAATATATTCCATGTCGCCCTCAGGTAACTCTGTCCCAGTGGTGAGAAAGGCCAGACACTGGCAAGCATGATTCATCACACTGGACAAACTGCTAGTCACGCATCACGATGCATAGACCTCGGGAAAAACCGTAACATGCTGATCGCCCAGGCCGCTGCACACCCCGGCAACTCTTCGCAAGCGCCCATCGGATGTGTCCAAACAATGTCGGACCAGCTGCCATGTGCAGTCAAGCCGACCGACCGCACACACGGTGCCAATGTTTCGACCGATTCAATGTCCAATGGCGATGCGCTGTCGAACTTATGCAGAAGATTGAAGATAAAAATGGACCGTGAATAGTGTTTTTGTCCAAAAAGCATCAAAAAGCAATAAATACATGAACCCACATTCAGATATTATGTCGTTTCTGGACCCTGATTTTCAGCTGCTTCCAAACCTTGATAATGGACTTTCACCAGATCCATGGAGTTGTATAGGTGGCTTTGCATTTCTCATACCCCGACTTCCTCCATTCCGCATCCCAAAAAAGACAAAACCGACATGGAACATCATGGACCTTACGTCACCGTTTTTTGGAAGAAGAATCCTTCCGTGAATCCGTTCGGGGATGGGGAAACATGATGGCTTACAAATGCTTGCAGCATGCACTCCAACTAAGCATCGTTGAGTCAGGGGAAATCTCTCGAGTGTCACCTTAGTGTCAAACCATTGCTGGCAGTAAGGTGTGAGAATTTGGGATACGTTGGCTGCACCAAAGCCTTTGGACCAAGAGAACCCTGCGCAGTGATGCACCCCGCGCATTCCACGAAGCCCAAGAAGGTATACTCAGGAGCGGTTCGGCTTCTTCTTGCTGCTGATCTTTGATTGAGGAAACAGACTGGGCCTCCCAACGGCCAAGAGTGTATGCGAAGGCGTGGAAGCTAATGTAACTTGAAGCCCGCTGGGGTCAACAAAAGCTACGGCAAAGACGATTGCGTCACCAGACAAAATCAAAGAGTCAACGAAGCCTGGCCTCTAGCTTACCGTAAACTTGTATTGGCGATTCTGGATGCCCTAGATATTCACTCACTATGCATCCCGGGGAATTCTAGTCAAAAAATTACTGCTCCCCTCTCGCCTCTCCCCCTCCCAGCAATTCTACCTTCGGTCAATGAAAACTGTGGCACTCGTCCACCTTGGTAGGTGGCATGGAAGAAGGCGGTTGTATTCCGCTTGGTAGTGCAAACCCCCTAGATGGGGAGGACCACATCCACATGATCAAGTTCTGTAGTTGTTGAACATGCGACCAGCTGTAGTTGTCGCTGGTGCGGCGCAGAACGAACAAGACACCAAACAAAACCCTCCTGCTCCCTTGGTGAATCATGGACGCATTTGTCACAAGAATTTTGTGAATGATCCAATTCCAAAATCAATAATAAGGGAGTTGAAAATCACTTGCCGGATCTTAGAAGTCTTCAATGTTGGATAATTACCTCAGCCCAGGCCACCATAAGAGTCTATTCTTGTCCTTTGACCGGGAGATCAAGCTGAGGGGTCTGCTTTTAAACTCTTTCAAGTAAAGATTTCACATTTCAACTCACTTCTCCCTCCACCGCCCTTGCTGTTCGCCTGTACCAGTAGTAGCTCTTTTCTTTCAAGAAATTCTTCCTGAGCTCCGGCATGTGTTCTGAGCACCGAAGATATGGGTGTAAATGATGGCTGAGAACCCAAGACATCATCCAAGAAAAACCACGAACTTGGACGGTTGGACTCCAATATCGAGGTGAGGAAAGGGCAGGGAGGCAGGGAGACATGGGAGACAGCAACTCCAACCGAGTTGCAAAAGACGTTGTAGTATTGTAGTTGTATACTTCATGTTCTCGAAAACAAGTGCACTCCCTGAAACAACTCATAACAATTGGCCATGTGGATGGCATGCCCGAGAAAAGGATGACAAACCCCAATAATACCAAGCAAGTGGTTTTTCCTGCACTTCCCATGTTGGTGACTTGGAGTGTACCTCGCTTTTTCTGTAGGTGGCTGGGAATTTGTTGGGAGGGCTCACGTTCCATCGATGCAATAGGCCCGGCGCCCAAAGCATCGATCATCATTTCCGCGCAAAACGCGCTAGGCGCCCTGACCTTGCTCCTTTCGGTTCCCGTGGTGGAAAATCCATAGCTCAACAACATGGAAAAAAAGCATGACATGGCCAGTCCAAAAGTCGATGTTGTTCGAAAGCAGCATCTTCCATGTCAAAAGAGAACAAAAGCCCTCACTCGCTCAAATAAGCGAGTCTCGGATAGGTCTTCACATACTCGGCGTCCGGCGCATACCTCAGCCCACCGAGGTATGAAAAGCGCGAAGTCCCGGAGCACGGAGGGGGGGGGGAAGTGACGTAGCCAAACACGACTAATGGGACTGCCATACATGCCATACATGTATGCTCCCTGGCACCACCCCATAAAGAAAAATATGGCATACAAGGAGTGCTTGGGATATGATAACAATTGATAACATGTAAAAGGCACATTGAGGCGCCGTCCAAATCCAGGACTGGTGCACTAGGTGGAAGTGATGCCTTTCTTTTTGGGGGTCCGGTAGGGGCCCTATGATAATCCCTATTGCTTTACATGAGTATTGAAAAAAATCAACATGCGTGCTGAGGGGGGTCTCCAGGTGCAACTCGGAGGGTGAAATGTGCTATATATGTCGTATTTTGAACACACACGCTTCACTAAGCCTATGGCCGATGCAACAAGTCGACGTTTACGCATCTGCGAGGAACCTGAAAGGAATCTGAAGTGTCGAAAGCCAATACCTGCTATAGCTCCTAAATGCCCCAAATGGATCATATAGAAACCGTTTTCTCAACACATCTCAGCACAATTCCCGTCTGCTCCCTCTCTCTCTCTCTCTGAGCTCTCTTTTGGCCTAAGGTGCTTCCGTCGGATTTTGCCAAACACACGGTTCACCACGAGCTTTTCATCTAAAGCTTCGGTGTATTCCTCACTGGGTTTGAGATAGTCGTAGGTCTCCTGTGGCTCCGTGGTGAGTTCGGATGCATTCGATGTCTCCAAAGACTTGGAAAACAACCCTTGGTCGACCGAGCCTGTGGGCTGTGAACATGTGGGCTGGCACATGCCAATGTCATTGGCCCAATTGCCTTGGCATGGGTTTCATATGACTCCTTGAGTGACGTGGGACCAAAATCACGTGGTTCGTAGCGTGCATTGATTTGCTCAAGGTGTCCTTTATTTGCTGAGGACTACCTTGACATGTCTCTTGTGCAAAGAAATAACCACCGAAACAGAACGAGAGTTGTCAAACCTTCCAATCTTCGGTGAAGTGAGAGTGACGAAAATGATGGGTGAGATGTTTCCGGGAATGCGGTCCGTCCCCCACATGGCTAGTGTGGGCGCACCATTTCGGTAGGCGCAAACCATGCTCAACACAAAGGCAATACATCACCGCCACGAAGCACGCCTCACAGACCATGTAAAGTATCCTTTTTACAAACCACTGAGGTTTGGGGCCCATCATCACCATGGGAGGGTATACACCTCATGTATATAGCATATATATTAGCGTATATGACATGTGTGTGCTTTTTTTTGAAGTTGTCGGTCTGTCTCGCTGCCCCCCAACCGCCAGCACGAACTCAGACTCCTTCATCCGGTTGATGGCATTCAACTTGGATTGGTAGTCCCAATACCTGTTCCTCTCCAGGACTCCTGGGATGGGCAGGAATGTCTGCTACCGCTATGTGGAGCACGGTGCCACCCCCTTCTTCAATAGACATCAGGAATCAGAATTATGTTATATAAATATAAACATTCTTGAACACCTCTTGGAAGCTCTTGTGTCATCTTGAGTCATAATATCGTTCAAAAGGAGACTCCGGCAAATCGTTTTTTCCATGCAATACCATCAAACACGTGTGTCTCTTCAAGAATCCAGAAAGTATATAATTGTCACCGAGGACAGCAAACACACATGGCTACCCACAACATGGCAATTGTTGCACGCTGCCGCTCTTGAAGAGCCGCTCTTGGTCAAAGGACAAGGAAGAGCAAGCAACCAAGCTGCAAATGAATGGCAGCAGTCCATCTAAAACGATCCTTTACACACAAATCCCTGACATTCTCAAGCAAGACCATGCTCTTCTTCGTCAAAAACCCCAAACACGACGAACGCCTCATGCCGAGGATCGAATGGAGCGAGCCACATGCGATCGGTATTTGGGATCGCGTGGCAAGGTGTGCGCCACCCGTTGCAGGGTGGGATACCGCATCTGGCCAAGCGGGGACCGTGCCCGGGACCGTGGCCGGGGGGGGATCCGCCATGCGGGAACGGTGGGGGTCGGTTCGCCCTGGCAGATCTTGTTGAACCAGGTCGTGCGTCGGTTGACCCAAGTGAGCCATCATGAGCCATCTTTTCGTGAGGTATCCGTGGCCAGGGGGAATGGGCTTGGCAGTATCCTTTTCAATCCCATCTGCATGTCCAATCTACTGCCAGAACACCACTCGCCAACGATCACCAACACCATCCAACACCATGTCAGCGCAGCAAACAAGCCAATCATAGACTGAAACAACTATTTAACAATTTCCCTTCTAACGCCAAGAACAGAACCCCCTCTTTTCCTCCCAATAAATTTCTTTTAAAAAAAACTGTGCATGCCTGGCCCAAACCACCCGAACCTCTCTTGGTAGGCCCAAGAGAGGCTCCGAACCAATGCTCCGCCGGAGCATCACCGGCCGACCGCCCGTCGCGTCGCGCCGGCCCGTCGCCTGCGCGAGCTGCTGCGAGAGGGACTTCTCGGGCTGTCCGAAGGTGATGCCACCCGCCGTCCCCTTGGGCACGGCCGACTCGAAGCCTGGGGGTGAGTAGGCGGCGAGGTGCGGCACCGCCTCCGTCTCCACGGGTGACACCACGCGGGAACGCGGGCGAGCCGCGGGCCGTGGGGGCATGGAAGTTCAGGGGTCCGCCCTTCCACGTCCACGATCGCCTTCCTACAGTAGGCGTTTCTGGAAGCGTGAAGCTGTACTCCATGGAATCGTCATGGCCTTTTGGAACAGCATGTTCCCTCTAGAAATATAGGGATGGATAAGATATGTTGAATTTCCATGATATTTGAAACATGTGATTTCAACAATTTCAAGTCATTGTTATTTCGGCTATCTCTATGACTTGGATCGTCCCACTATACTTCACGATTCGTGGCTGCAAACGATCTGCTACTTCTCGACCGCTACTCGGATCGCCACCGCCACACTCGGACCGCACCCGACGTCGTCTCTTGTGACCGGTCCACGGCATGACCGACAGTCACTTCGATATCACCGCTATGCTAAAGGATGCTAAAGGAGTGCCTCTGGGCACTCTTTTCGCCACTGGTTTAGCATCAACAAATGGCCTCAAAGGAGACTTCTAAGGATTTATTTGTCTTCGATGTAACGAGGGTTCATAGGCGCGGGACCTTCTCACCACCCTCCAAAAACACTGCCCTAGGGCTCCAGTCGTACCTCCTCAGAAGGTACGACTGGAGCCCAGGGGCCGTGGAAAGAAAAACATCTCGCATCGCAGAAAACACCGATGAGTCCGGCGGACCCTCACGACGTGCAAGATCATCACTCCATGTCTATGGAAGAATATGCCATGCGGCCGGCGCCTTGCCCCCCCACCAACCACCCGACATGGAGGCAAAGATGGCAGTATTACATGGAGTGTCTGGATCATATCACGTGACCCATAGGGCACCCTGTCTCTTCTGTTCTAGGACGTTTTCCTGGTGACACATCGGTTGAATTGCACGCCTGCCGCTTGATCCTACTAGTACTGAACAGCAAGTTCTCCACCTTGGAAAAATGAGTTCAATTACTATCCAATATTTAATTACTCACAATTACCCCAAATCAGCCTTCGTGCTCCTAGTCCAACGCCCCAAAACCATCCAAAACCAGGAAGTCGTATTCAGCAGCATTGACAACCATCCGTGCTTTCCCTTTATCTCTACTTCCCATGGAATCGACATGGCTCCCAAGTGGTTGCGCCAGGGGTGGTGGACTCCAGCAAGCTGATCAGGAGCTGGATCCTCCACCTGCAAGACTCCGCCGCTCGTGGCCGGCACTGATGCGAATGGAAGCACTGGGGCGGTGGATGGCGGTGGGAAGTCCAGTGGTGAGGGGATTTCCAACCCAAAAGAGCAGAAGACACAGACATGGATTCCACCAATGGACTTGCGACCATGACCTCGGTCGACCCAGGCCGGTCTTACCAAACAATGCCAAACATAGAATCGCTTTCGGTGTTTGAGGAGTCCAGGGATCCAAACACCGATCCTGATGTATGCGGATGTCTCATTGGATGCTACTGATTACAGTGGCAAGACAACCAGCGAACCCATTGACCTCGCCCAAAGGGCTTCTTGTAAAGCAAGTCCATAGAGACAAGCATGACAAGCCAGCTGGGCAAAGCATGGCAAAGCGGCAAACATATTGCTTGCACAATTTACTAGATCAGACCTTGATCCCTAATCATCCTAATCAAGCAGCTGGAATCAGCACACGCCGCAACCAAAATGGCCCTCAAGTTGTTTAGATCTTCGAAGATCTTAAAACATCTTCAAAATCTTTTCAAGACGCAACACTCTTCCAAGCTAAAACAGTCTCGGCGCCTGGTTCTCCGGCAAACACCTCATGACGTCTTCCTCTTTCTTGATCGCATCAAGTGCTACGTTGATACCTCGCAGGAGCAGGCAGGGGCCCAGGGGGACTCATAAGAAGCAAATCTATTAGAAACTCTGTGGATCGTGGCCGCGTGGCCTACATATGTGCGGGATCTCGTGTCGATTTCGAACGCACATGGCCGGCTTCTTCAAATCGGCACGGCGTCGCCACCGGTGAAGCCGATGTGTCGGAAGGAGTGGGCGTCGGATCGAAAAAGACTTGAAGAAATGAAGCAAAGCCAGACACTCCATGTGATTGTTGTATGATAGGACTGCCGCCCCAGACAGGCCCCTGGCACCACCCCAACTGATCGGTACAGTCCCATTGAGTGTCTGGGAGACAGAACCAGAAACCGGAAGCTTCGCCAGTCCAAGAACAACACTTAGGGAACCCAAGCATACATATCGGAGGAACATTCAAACATGCTTCGGAGATCTCCGGGGTATGGTGGTTATATAGACTATAGGCCCCCCCGAAACGCACCCACCCAAACAACCACCTTCACCGAAATGGACGGTCGGCACTAGGGAAGTCTCATGAGACCTTCTTAGAAGGGGTGTTGATGGAGCACCCTCCCAAGGGAAGAAAGAACCTCGACCAATCCCACCAAACATTCATTGTGGCCAAACCGCCATCCATGTCGCGAGTTTTCGGAGAGCGGTTGTTCAAAGAAAGCAATCTGCACTCCAAAAGATCGTGGAATCCTATGGTAATCCTGTTTTTTTTGCAGCACTTTCCAGTTATAAGCTTAAGACATGCTTAGGACCTCTTAGGACCATTTCAAGGGGATTCTTGTCAATTTCTTTACTCCATCCCATCCAGTTGTTCTAGAGTTCAGCTATAAGGCAAGTGCCCGCCTCGGAGCTTCTGCCGCAAGCGCTCGCGGCTGTCGAAGCTCCATCGCACGTCGCCGCGGAAGGCGGCCAAGGGCTCCAGCACCTCGGGTGGCATCGGCGCCTCGCGCCGGAGCCTCAGGAGATCCTCAGGCGGGGCAGTTCCGGCGCGGGCGCTTCAATAGGACTTTCGGTGGGTTAATATATGTCTAGGATGATATAGGTATAGTCGTGGGTTAGGTATATATAGACGGTATAGGTGAAGCGCCTATCATCCGAAGGAATCCAAGATGATTCGAGTTGGAATCGGCATTGGAAGATGATGGAAGAGGTAATGTTTGGGCAAAGAAGCCATTTCCAGGCGGTGAAAACGAGTGATCGTAGGAGATCTATAATTCTGTGATATTCTGTGTTTCAGCACATTTATGCTGCAATTTCTGTTCCTGTGACACGGGATGAAGGGGATTTCTTTGAGCTTTTTGCACTTCAGGCAATAGCAACCAGCTTCTTCAAAGTGACCTTTTGAAGGTTCCTAAGTGACCCTTAGGAGGCTTCAGTGACCTCAAGCCAGGTTGTCAAAAGGTCACTTTGAAGAACCAGGAATGTAATTTCCATCCACCGTGGCCAAGCCCTCCAAGCATCCGCTTGTGCATCCAGCAGCCGCGGCATCACCCGCTCATCCAGCGCGTTCCGCACGCAACGCTCGTGCAGTAAGCGCTCGGCGGCGCTCCTGGGGGCTTTGGAGCTTAGGTCCAAGTGAACTGTCAATCTGATGGGACTGACATACCTAGAACCACATTAGGCAATGTTCTGCACGGACAAAGTTGCCTTTACCCATAGGCAAAGCCCAAGAACAGGTTCTAGGTATACCAACTGGGGCTTTGGGAATCTTTGGGATTTTGGAGTGTCTGGAAGGTGCACTTTAGGAGTCGGCGGTGCCAAACTCAGAGCCAAACTCGAACATCACTGGATGGGACCACATGGAACCATGGAACGGCTAAGAGGATTGCTTTGTGGAGGGGCGGGGTGTGGCGTGTCACAAGGGTTCAATTGGCCAGCCATAGCGAATTCCATGCCAAACGTTGCGCAAGAACTCGCTCCATGAACAAAGGGCCGTGTCTTGGGTTTCCAGCGGGACCTCACGATCAGTGGAGGATGATTTAGGACGCACCGGTTCATTGCACACTTGGGGGTATCCCCCCCTATTGCTTAACAATCATCCGACCAACAGTAAGAGGACATCCACTTGCAAAACTCCTCTTCATCATATAGGGATTCGCGAAGTCTGCCAGCTCATGCGTGAGCACGGGCCGCTCGTGATCCAAGACTTCCGCCGCAGCAGCGTCGCGGAGCCTCGTGTCGCGCAGGTCGCGGAGGTCCGGCGGTCTGCGCAATCGAGTCAGCTCGAGCCGGTCCCCCAAGGGAGCCGGTCCTACATCGCCACAAGGATCGGCAGATGTGGCTGACAAAGATCAGGCCCAACATGGCCCAACGGTTTTTTCGAGGATCGGCCCGGGGGATCAACCGCTGATGATGGATGATCATGTCACTTCTGTTTTCCTTTCTGGCTTCTCTTCTCTCTTCTTTTCCTCTGCAAAACATCTGCATAGAATTCCATGACTCTGTGCCGCTACTCCTTATCACACGGCTTCAGTGAATGACTAAGACCATCTTTGGTTTCATGATCCGGGGCTGTCTTGGATGCTTCGCTCCACCCCAACACCTTCGACGCTCCCACCTCCGACCGGTCCGACCATCGTCCACGCAGAAAACGCCGGGCCACACGTCCACAAAGCGGTCTGTCCGCGCGCCCAGGCGTGGCCAGGGCTTCTGCTGCTCCAAGTCCTCGCGAGGATCGGTGGCGAAGACGTGAGTTCGGCGTGGCCAGGACGGACTCGGTCGGGTGGACGTCTGGTAGCGTTCCACGTAGACCAGGGGCCCCCGAGAAGAAAAAACTTCGACCGTTTCAAAAAAAGAGTAAAAAAGGGGGTTGGCCACTTTAGGCCTGAAGTGATTGAACCCAGGGGGGCCCAGGAGTCCTTCTACAAAGGCAACTCTTGAAACACGATCCAGTACCTTTTAATGGCTGAAGCATGGCGAAGCCTTTCGAGCCCATGCTACATACGTGAACATAGTGAACATGTTGTTCGACATCATATGCTCCATCATGCTCCTATCGGGGTCCTTCCGCAACTTCTTGAAGGTCTGGACATAGTCATCTGCTTTCCAATAGTCTTCCACGATGGACTTTTTGCGCCACTCATCTTGGAATTCCACATCCTGACCATCGCTAGGGCGCCAGAATTGTGGCTGGGGCGCTTGGACAAGAAGTCCAAGAAGGTTCGCAATTCTGGGGTCTTCAAGCTTCTGGACCTGACGAAGACCTGCCCGGATCTCAGTCGTGTTAAAGTTAAAATACTTTACGATTGATCAGCTGGGAAAAGCACGCACCCTATAATCCTTCAGGCTCACTTCCAATGCACTCTGTGCTAGGTTCTCCTATGTTCTCCTCCCCTCCAGGCCAAACGCTCTCCCTCCCTCTCCCTCTCTCTGTCTCTCAGTCTCTCTCTCTCCCTCCGTGCTTTCGACGCTCTGCAACTGACTTCGGCGCCCTGTTCGCCTCAGCCTCATACTCCTCTTCTTCCTCAGTGTAGCCTTTGGAGAGCCCCGGGGATGGCAAAACAGCGGCACTTCCAATGCACATGATGCAGGAAGTCGGAAGTGCCACAACGGCCGCGTGGGAGTCGGGGAACCCCCAAAAAAGACTCAAAACAATAGAACATGAACAAACTCGGAACCACCCCCATATGTCTCGAGGTAACCACAATGGTCGGCATCATATCCCAAACACTCCATGTATGCCATATATATGCCTACATTGGGGTGGTTTGAGGGGTCGATGTAGGCATATATGGCATACATGGAGTGTCTGGGTATATGGCAATATCACTTCTGGCAGCCACTCGCCTGGTGGCAAGTGATGAAAATCGAGGATCCGATCGCCGATCACGCAGATCACGCAGTGCTTGAAGCGGCCAGTGATGCGCGCGGCCAGTGATGGGTGATGACGTACGTATATCGAAAGCCACGAGTCAACGAGCTCCTGAAACACAAGTCTTCGTCTACGTGCCTTTTTATTGCTTTGAGAACTCTCGTCTCCTCTGTGTTTTTGGGGGGGTCTCAACTGGGTCAAAAATAGCAATGGCTGCTGCTGTGATTGTGCAGGGCACGTGCCTCACGCACACATACACCACACGAGACCGCACACGACGATGCTACAAACGAGACCGCACGTCAGTCATCATGCCATAAGTGCAAACAACCAAAAAACAGAACACATACATCATGCCCCATCAGATCCAAAAGGGTGGTTCTTATAGACCCTGTATATATTATATATATAGTTATTAACCAAGTGGATGTGAGTCGTGAGCTGATGTGAGTGGATCATGAGAATCCCCCTTCAAATTGCTTACTCTTTTGATCTTTTGTGGTGCGTACACGCACATGGCTTGGCTCGACGTTCTCACTGGGGAGCTTGCTTTTGTCTCAGACTTTTGGGGCGGTGGCCTCCAACCTGGAAGCGATGGCGGCCTCCGGCCTCGATTCAGCATCGTGAAGGTAGTCTTCGCTTGCCCCTTGCGCAACAAGCTCTTCAAGCGCCGCTGCTTCTGAAACTCATCGCCTCGCGGCATTCGCGAAGCGGAGGTGAAGAAGTCCAAACGGACGAAGAAAGGTTGGGTGGAAGGGGAGGTGCCGGAGGATTTTGGGAGGGGTCTTTTCAGAAGGTTGCTGTCATGGTGTTTTGCCCACTGTCTGACAGCCAATAGGTTCTGGTCGAGAATCGAAAATGCCAAGTCTGCAACTGGACCTCGCGAAAAGCGGTTGATTTCTTTCACATCTATGCAGGGTCGGTCTGCTTATAGTTGTCTGTTTGCGGATTGTCCATCTATTCAGATCCCAGCTCCCGAACCTCGAATCGAATTGATCTGAAATCACCACGAGATCCCTGCGATATGCCGATCGCTGCAGTCCGACTTGCTCCTTCCACACTCTTCCACACTTCCCAAGTGCATCCAACCCATTTTGCCCATCACTATCCTCACGTTTCAAGGCACGTTCTTCGTTGAAGATCCTGATGAATTCCATGAAAACAAAGTTTTCTCTGTTCCACTGAGCTTGCGCTTTCTCCTGCCGGATCTGCGAGATGTGGTTGGCCTGCGGCGATTTTGGCCCAATAGACCAAACGTGCTCCCAATGGAATCTGAAAATTGTCTGAAGAAGGTGGGCCAGCAAAATGTTAAGCCAAACTAATTGGGTGGATTCCTGAACAAAACACGACCCGTATGGGTGTTGAGAAGATGGTAGGTTGTCAGTAGGCAGCTGCCTGTTTACCCGGCCAACAGTGATGTTCTTTGCAGGCACCTATCGTATATATATACATATCTATCTATCTATATCAATACACAAGAGGCCATGTCCAGTCGACACCTCATCAGTCGAAAGAAGGTGCCGCTGAGGTGCTGGTGATGTTTTTGCTATTGTCGATGGTTACAAACAAACATGGACCCTCCAAAACCCTGTTTGCTTGACCTCCTTAATGTCGTTTCTTTGCGGCCACGGGTCATGCCCTTGGATTTGCAGACCGAACCTGATGCCACCGGTAGGACATATTCCTCGCAAGGGGGATTTAACCATATACTAGGACCCACAAGGGGTGGTTAATGTACACCCCTTAACCTCTAAGGGGGTATCAATAGACAAACCAGGTTTCCCTTGACCCTTGTCGAAACCAAAAAAAAACGGTATCCAAACAAGACACCCAGCTGGATGCGCTTGATTGCTGCAGCTTGTTCGCCTCACAGTGGAGTGAACTTTCACAGCTCTCAAGTCCAGTCTTCACCATCAATAGCCACCCGCCGTGCTTGCACACACAAACAGCATCGGTACAATCAGTCCTTTAGCTTTGGCCATTAAACCACTTGCAGGTAAGCCTCCTATAGCAGCCTCAAAAGCATCACATGCCAAATCTGCAGGGTGCAGTCTTCATGCTCACGCACCTGGAGTATCAAGAAACAACTTCACAATCTTCGCATCACAGTCGTCCCCCCTTGAGTTGTGGCATCATCTACAATGAATCTACAACATCACGCTAGGTGATGTGACCCAGAACACCGTGAAAAGTGGAGTGTATACTATATATTGTAACCAAAAACACTACACTGTGAAAAGATGTGAAAAGTGGATTGTGACAAAAAACGCTATCCCAAATGACTTAGTGGATGATTCTGGATGAGCCTTCGATATCCAACCATCCAACCACCCCCCCATGGTTTAGACTCGACCCGTTTGGCGATCCGTAACGCACCTTGAGCTTCGGCCCCTTCTGCAGCCTGCACGGCTGGTCTCCGTCGTCGAAGGGGTGGCCACGCGGTGTTTGAGGCGTTTTTAGGGCTATTCATTGCTAAAGCTCCAGTCGTACCTCCTCAAAAGGTACGACTGGTGGCACCCGGGCCCCCAGTCCCACCGAACCGAAACGAAGGTGCGACTGGAGGTCTAGGGTATTTGTTAACTATGGGTGCAACACCACACATCCATGAGCTCGGCACAAACAAGGCCACCCGAGAATTCCAAGACTTTCAAGCGAGCAGTGCCCTTTCTTCGGGGGAGGGGGTGACTACAGGGATCTACAGGGCCCAAAAACACACCTGGAAGCAATTGGAACCATACCAAGCTGGGCCGGTCGCTCGGAGCGACTGTTTGGACGCTGAACCCGGCGGAGCGGTTGATCAACGCCACGAAGGGTGGCGTGAAAGCCGCAGCACGCGCGGGCGCGCCGCCGGACAGGAGTGAGGTTTAGACATAGGTCAGGCCTCACTCCAATGAACTTCACGGTCCATCCTATCCCATCCTATCCCATCCTGTCGACCATCAAACCACACGGTGGCCTCCACACCGCTCGACCCTCCCACCCCGTGCCGCACGCCTCTTCCGCGCGCCCGTCCGTCCTGCGGCGCGCTGACGCTCGGTGGTGACGTGCCACGTGCCATGTGACGTTGCGAAGTGCATGGAGCCGTGGCAGCAATTGAAAGCGACATAAGAACATTGATTGAAACTGCAATGAACACGGTCCAAAAGGAAACAACGTTTCATTGATGGTAGCTACATGTAGCTAGTTTCTTCCTCAGGAGTCTTGGGTTGCTCACCTGCAAAGGCATTGGGAGCATCATTCTATTGAAATACCAACTTAAGGACGTTTGGCGCTCGTTCAAGAAGCCCTGAAACGACTTCATTACACTTACATTCACACAAATTGCATACAACAGGTTCACAAAATGTTGCAAACAGGCTTGAACTCCCTTTCACCGTTCTGTTGCACGATTCAACGGGTACGGTACCAATTCATATCCTACTATAGGCTATCGGCTCTTCCAATATAAGTTTGCACTGCCTGATGAGGCTTGCTCTCGCTCTGCTTTACCCTCCAAACCTATAAATATGACACAAGAAGAGCCATGCCATGAGCAAAGGTGTCCCACAAAAAACACGCCCTTTCTGGAGCCCATGCGATGCAGAATCTGCGCAAACAAAGCCGTGCAACAAATGCGTAATTTGATATGAATGCAGTACCTCATTGAGAACATTCTCTTGCATGATTGCAACAGGTTTTGGACGAAGGTCCGTGTTCCTTTTGGTGGCTCTAGTGAACAATTCGGATGAAAATCGACTATTCGTCCAATCCCCTCCCGCCTTTTGGTGAAGCACTTGCTTGCTTTTGGTCAGCTGCTTTGGCTGTCTGACCTGGAAAAGGGGACTGAACTTGCCAAAGAACAAAGAAGTTCTCTCGCTGATCTGGCTACCAGTCACAATTGATCTTCCACCCTATATATCTATTGCTGCTGCGGTGCGACGTGCATTTTCGAAGAAGCTGTCTTGGCTGGAAAGCATCTAAGAAAATGTTGGACATTGCAATGAGCACACTTATTTATGGGTGTGTCTGAGACTGCACACTCCCGCTGCCTTTTGATGAGGCACTTGCTTGAGGAGTCTTAGCCGCTTTCGGTTGCTCACCTGCAAAGTTATTCGGAGCATCATTATATGGAAATACCATGAAATACCAAACTTAAGGATGGTTGGCGCTCGTTCAAAAGGCCCTGAAACGAGTTCACTTCACTGTACATTCACACGAATTGCATACAGCAGGTTCACAAAATGTTTCAAGAAGGCTAGCACTCCCTTGCACAATTTTGTTGCAAGATTCAAGGATATGGTAACCCTTCAAAGCCTACCGGCTCTTCCAATATAAGTTTGCACTGCCTGATGAGGCTTGCTCTCGCTCTGCTTTACCCTCCAAACCTATAAATATGACACAAGAAAAGCCATGCCATGAGCAAAGGTGTCCCACAAAAA